CCATGTGATGCAGAAGCCGAGGAGTCCCAGAGATGGACTCAGCACCCGATGGAGGTGCCACGAGCTCGCCTGCCTCTGAGCCCTACCACATTGTCCCTCCCCAAGGTGGACATGTGCTGGACCTCATTTCAGTGTATTCCAGGTCACATCAGTGTCAGGTTGACATGATGTACACTGTTGTCAGGGAAACCTTATGGCTTCAAAAGGAACAGGACACAGTTAACATCATATTTTATGGAGAAAGATGAATTTGTTTTCCTCCTAAGATCAAGAACAAGTTAAGGAAGGCGGTCTCATCACTTCTAGTCAAATGCTGTAAGGAGAGTCTAGTCAGGACAATTAGGCAAAAGAAAATGCACTTATGATCTTGAAAGTAGAAGCCCCTAAAAACCCTAAAATTAATAGAACTGATGAGTGAGTTCAACAAAGTCGTGGGATACAAGATGAATCTGCCAAAATTAATCGCATCAAGGACAAATATTCAATTATATCACTATAGATGAGTAATAAGCCAAGATGGAATTAAGAAAATAATTATGAGTATCATCAAAAAGAATGAAATAATTATGAACAAAGTTAACAAGAGATGTGTAAGATTTGCAATCTGAAAATATAAAACATTTTAAAAAATCAAGATTTAAATAAATGGAAAAATAGACTATGGTCCTATATTAGAAAGCATTATCTTGGGCCTCCCTGGTGGTGCAAGAAGTTGAGCACAGCACTGTGAAGCTGTCCATAGCCTCTGCAGTGCGGGTTCGATCCGGCCAGCCAGGGAGCTACCCACATGGCACAGCAGACCTCTCCTGTCTCACCCGCTGCTCCCCTCAGCAGAGTAGTTCAGTGGATCTGCTGTTCTGTTCCCCACTGTCTCTGGTGAATCCTTTCACCCTCCCACACATCTGGCCTGTACCGCAGTTCTGGTATAAATAAATCTTTTTAAAAAAGAAGAAAGCTTTATCTTGTTAAAATGGTAATGCTTCTCCAATTAATCTACAGATTTTTTAAACCTCAGCTTTTTTGTTTTGTAGAAATTGACAAGTTAGTTACGAAATTCATGCACAATGTCATTGTCACATTCCCAGTTTCAAAGTTTACTATATGGTGCAGTAATTAAGATAGCGTAGCACAAGCATATGCACAGACATATAGGTTAATGGAGAAGAATTGAGTATCCAAAAATGAGCTATTATATTTATGGTAAATTGATTTTTTATGAGGATGTCAAGATAATTTTATGGGGAAAAAAATCTTTTTTAACAAATATTGAGATTTTCTAAAATTTTTCACAGTGTTTTACATTTTGAGTATACAACTGAATATCTACAAGCAAAAAAATGCTGGACACCTTCCTTTTGACATACACAAAAAATTACTTCAAGCTGGATCACAGACCTAACTACATGAACTAACACTATAAAACTCTAGAAAGAAAGTTTAGGGGTATATCTCTATCCAAAGGATTAGGCAATGGTTCCTCAGACACAACACAAAAGCACAAAGGAAAAATAAATAAACTGAATTACATGAAAAATCTTTTTTTGTTTCCAATTGTATCACCAATAAAATGAAGATTCAAAACCTAGGAGAAAATATTTGAAAATCATTATTGATAAAAGACCAGAGTCTGGATTATATGAAGAACTCTTAGGACAGAAAAATGAAGATAATTAAGCCAATTTTAAAAATTGGAAAAGCATTTGAATGGATATTTTTCCAGGAAAGACATACAAATAGCCAACAGGAACATGAAAAAGATATTTGGCATCATTAGTTATTAGGGAAATACTAATTAAAACCACATGAAATACCACTTCACACAACTAGGATAGATAAAATAAAACAACAGGTCACAGTGCTGGTGAAGATGTGGAGAAATTAGAGCCCTCATACATTGCTAGTTAGGATGTGGAATGATGGAGTTGCTTTGGAAAATAATATGCAGTTCTTCAAATGCAAAACATAAAGTTATCATGTGACCCAGTAATTACACTCTTAGGTAAAAATTAAAGATAAATGAAAATATACATCCACACAAAAACTTGTACACAATGTTCATGGCAGCATAATCCATGACAGCCAAGAGGCAGAAACCATCCAAATGTCCATTATCTGAAAAATGTGTAAATCAAATGAGGTAGATACAAAACCATGGAACATTATTTAGCAATAAAGAATGATGTATTACTATAGCTATATCTTGGATAAATCATGAAAATATTTTGCTCAATGAAAGAAGCTAATGACCACAATTTACATGATTGCATTTACATAGTCTATAGTAGTCTAGTATATTCTATAGAAATCAAAAAGATTAGTTTTTTCCCATGGCTTGGTGACTATTAGTTCAGAATTTCTTTGGGGGTGATAAAAAGATTTTAAACTTAGAATGTGAAAATGACTGCACAAATCTGTGACTAAATTAAAAAAACATTGAGTTGTATACCCTAAATGCTTAAATTTTATGGTATGAGACACAGATTTCAATGAAGATGCTTTCAAAAGAGGGCCTCCCCGGTGGCGCAGTGGTTGAGCGCTGGGTTGCAAAACTGCCCGCACCCTCTGCAGCGCCAGTTCGATCCCCAGCTGCAAGTTGAGAGTCCCACATGGCGCGCAGACCTCTCCTGCCGCCCGCTGCTCCCCTCAGCAGTGTACTTCATCAGTCTGCCTGTTCTGCTCCCCGCTCTGGCTCTGGTGAATTCTCTCACCCTCCCGCACTTCTGACTGTACCCAGTGCTTGTATAAATAAATAAATAAATAAAAGTTAAAAAAAAAAGAACTTGATGGCCTTTAAATTAAAAAATAAAAAAGGCAATGGACCTTGAGGAGCAGGCAGAGTTGGGCTTGATTATCAAGTTCTGTGGTCGTCCAGAGCTTCTGTACCTCTCTAGGCCTCCATAAATGCTAACTTTTTATCATTTAATCCAACTGGAAGAAAAATACGAAGTGGAGAGAAGTGGTTTTGGTTTCTTCTTTTTTGGTTTTTGAATAAACGCAGACAGAACCAAAGTGATCCTCTAAAATGAAAGCTGCACACCCAAGACCACCAACTAGACTTGGATCCAAATTCCCTGTTTGGTCCCTACAAAAAGCATTGCTTCAGCATCCCACACATGGTTCTGCCCCAGCACCATACCAGGCAGTTGGTATTGCCCTCAACTCTTCCCAAAGTCAAAAGCAGCAGCTCTCCTAGCAACAGGCACGCCTCCCTTCATCTCCCACCTACAGCCAGATTTACAGCAAGACCAGAAGCATTTACAACATTAACAGAAATGAGGAAATACAAGAAGGATGCCGACAATCAAATTCCAAGCCATTTACATCTTATACTGCTCTTTTGGGGAAGGTCATCTCCACCCCCACCCCAGCAGCCGCCAGTGTCCATAAGGCATTAGATGCTTTGAGCTTTTCATTCTCAACAGTGTAATGAAAATAGATGTTGAATGCTAAAACATAAACATATGTATCATTTATAATGCATTCAGATGTTTTTCAATTATTCATGGTTCCTGAAAGTTATTTGACCTATCATGCACATATATCCAAACAATGTTTATATTAGAACCACAGCCTCAATGTACGCAATTCCAGCTCCTTGGCATTCCCGTCTATGGAATTAAAATTAAATGAGTCAGTGGTCAATAAAAGTTACATGTGATTTCCATAAAATTATCCATTGTATATTGCTCTGGGGTGGAGAAAGAAGGTTGCATGGAGTTGGCAAAGCTGACAGAATACAGAATGATTGCTTTCTGATGAGGGTGGTGGTGATGATTAGCCTTTCCTAAGAATGAATTCATTATTTCCCTGAATAATTGGTGGTCTTCAACTTACTTTTCGTCTAGGAAAAAAATAACTCAGAGGGCCACCCTCTTTCTCTTCTAAGTCCTGTTTTCTTAAAAAAAAAAAAAAAAAAGCCAGTATTCTGAGCTCAAAAACACCACATTCTTCTGTTTTGGTGCTTGAATAAATTTGCATGTTAACACAAATGGTTCCAACTTAAAGAATGTAAAATTAAACGAAACTTGAATTTAAATCTAAGATGGAGAAAAGACACATGTAAAAACAACAGATTTTCAATCTTGTTGATTTTTTTCAAGAACCAGATTAGGAAAGACATAAACACACACTTGGTTTCAAAGAAGGGGGGCATTGAGAGGAGACGGGCACTGCCAAAGAGGAGCCCCCCCACCTCACACACACTATGAGTATTTGCAGATCACAGCCCTGTTTCAATGTCTGCATGCACTGTAAAACTCAGAGATGTGACTCAGAAGACATGTTCACTGTCATGTTCCAACTTTTGGAGGCCCACCCAGAGAAAATGAAATGTAAGGAGCACTGCATGAGTAGTTCAAGCAAAGACAGGCATGAGTTTGCCCCTGCCAGCTCCAAGAGCTTTATCCTCCAACTTCCCCACTGTCCTTGAAGGAGAGTCTCCAAAGTGGTTAGGACACATAGCGTGAGGGCTAGACCGGGTCAGAATCCCAGACCCATCCACCACTTACTGGTTTCGTGACCTAAGGCATACGATAATCTGTGAACATAACTTTTTTTTCATAATTGTTTTAATTTACTTAACAACTGTAACCGTTTCACAAATTTACTGTGAGAATGAAATAATACACTTAGAACAGTGTGCGGCAGAGAGCAAGTCTTCAATGAGGCTGAGCTATCACTGGGCTGGCTGGTAAGGTGCTGCTTAAGTATTTAGGGATGGAGTCAAAAGGAACCAGACATGAATCATTTCTTTCTTCTTCAACCTGCTCCCCCCCTTTGTCTCAGGAGGGAGACACAAATCAAGCCATGGTAAAAAGCCTGGTGCCCATGAGCCTGGACTACAGAACAAGGAGAAAAGTCCTACTCTCACCCCCATCCTGTCCCACCCTATCAACCTCTTCTCATGACCCAGTCTTCATCCAGGAAGGTATTGCAAGTAAGATGACAGCAAGATCTTAAGACATAAAGAGGAGGGTGAGCAATGAGCCCCAGCACCTTACCTCATCTTCATTCTCGGTTGCACTGGGTCCCAATTTCTGGACAACTGACTTGTCACTCTCTTTTAACAATTTCTCTCGAACTTTGGTTTCATACTCAGGCCGGGAATGTTCCTAAAACCCAAAGAGTCAAAGAGTAGTTAGTAAACAGGTAGAAGAATGACCTTGGCCTGTGAGTTATACCCAGACACACAAGTACACTAAAGTCAGGACTTAGTATCAGCGGCTACTGGAATGAACTGTCACACACCACACACAATCACGAGGAGTCTAGACCAAGAACACGTGTGGGGGGAAGAGAGGAAATACACAACACTTGTTACCACATGGAAAACCAAACCTGGGCACGGTCCTGGGAATGGCGCCGGTGTTGAGAAAGCAGAGAGTAAATGTTAACTGGGCAGCTGAGACAAAGAGAAGCCACATGCTTTGCATAGCAATTTAATCAAAGGCCAACGGATACATCTGGTCACTCCACCAACTATCTTTATATCTCAAACTTTAAGTATCAACAAGCAGAATCCCAGCTGGAGAAACAGATGCACCCCACAGCTGGGAGTTAAGGCAACAACAAATTTCTTTCCTGCACCGTGATTCTGTGAGTTAAAATGGCGACCAATAAACATCAAAGTTAAAGGTGGCCATAGGGAATCTTAAAACTCACTTGCCTGGACCTGCTTCCTGTACAGCCTAGGTGAGTAACTCATTGGCAAGCACAATGCTCAAGAGACAGCACGGGGCCATTCAGAGATACAGACCTGAAGAGTGAGTCACAGTTATATGACGTTCACATAACTAATCAAGAAGACCATGGTCAAATCAATGCAGATGCTGGGCAGGAAGATGCATGACTTACTTCAAAGAGAACTCAGGGGTGTACACCTGGCCTCATTGGCAGGACTTCCCCACAGCTTCTAAGGGCAAATATCTATATGTGTGCAGATTTTTGTGTTCTTGCATTATTTACTGATAACTCCCAGGCAGGGATTCAGCTCACAGTGGACTCCACACGTTTCCTTATTGCTGCTCTTACATCAGAGATTCCAAAAGCCAACCCACAGGTTTCCAACCCTTCTTTGGCTTCCCCAAGACATGGCATGATGTTGGGGAGGAAAAGGCATGCATGTGACTAGTGTACACATCCAGTACAGGAGCAGGAGGGGAGACTACCCAAAGTGTTAAAGGCCCTCCTCACCACCGAGGGATGCCTCAACCCATGCCTCCCAGGAGGCCGTCTTGATTGCTATAATGTACCTGGTGGGGCTATGTCCCTCTCACTCCAGTTTAATACTTTCTACCACAGGTAGTTCTCGATGACTCATTTTCCTTATATTATTTCCCAGCTGTTTTGCATGTGAGAGTCTTTTTATCCTGTCACAAACTTGCTGCTGATTTGTATTATTTACCGATTTGCATTATTTCGTGTTTTCTCACAGCACCCCATGAACGCACAGAAATCTCCAAATGCTTGTGAATTTCACTTGGTTTTGTCTCTCACTTTCATCCACTCTCCAACACAGAATTTCCTCAGGTGTATACCAAGAGAGTTTTAGCTTTAAAAAAATCCCTGGTCTAAAAGTTTAGAAAAGACCCCAGAATGTATCACCTGGGAGTCAAACATGCATGTGAAAAGCTCTCACAAGCTCTACTGTAAAGACAGGTGCTTTTCTTAAACCATTCACATCCCACAAAACTCCTTTTGCTTCCAACAATTAACATCAAGCAGGAAAACTGTGGGAAACATGGTCTGACGTTTTCCTCCCTGGCCTCTGAAACTTGGGGTATTTTCTATATGACTCCTTTATTTTATCCCAAAGGAAGAGTGTGATTTAAAAAAAATAGAGCTGGATCTTTCTGGAGAGAACCACAATGCAGGTTCTAGTCCCTTCAAGCCAGAGGAATTCTGGCTCTTCCAAGCCCTGCACAGGGCTGCACAGGGCTGAGGAGACTTCCAGCTGGCCTGTGACTTTCCCAAGATATGCCATAGTGGCACATAGCATCCTCACACCCTCTTTCTGTGGCTGTGCCCCATTTCACTCCACACCAGGCCTGATTCAGACTCCCTCGTCTGTTTAGAGCAAGCATTCCCAGCACACAGACAGGAGTCCAAAACACTCAAGACAGAGCCTTAGGCTCCTTTGCATTCGGCTGAAGTAGGTCAGACAAGGATGTGGCAGTGTGCAGTCAAGAGGATCAGATGAGGTTATAACATCCCTCAAAGGTAGGGAGCTGGACAAGTGAGTTCATGGCCAGAGCAGACTGTATACTCCAAGAGGGTTGCTCCACACACCAGCCACAGCAGGTCATCCCTGGCTGGGGAGCTGATGCCAAATCATCAGGAATACACAGCCCTTCCCATCAAGACTCCAGAAACTACTTAACCTCTAGTTGGTCTCCTCAGGAGCTGGCCCAGGCCAGCTCAGGACCAGCCTTTGCTCATCTAAAGAGGTCAGTGCAGAGACACGCTGAACATGTCTTCAACAAGGAGTCACCGAGCACCTATGTCTAGAAGACTTTCCCAGGCGCTGTGGCTGCAATGATAGCCCTCCTCTTGTGAAGTTTGTCTTAAGGGAGGAAAGAGGTGGTGAGTCGACACAGAGATACAAAACTAGCAGATAGTGTAAGAGCAACTGAAGAACCAGTCAGGATGACTGCTTCAGAAAGGGGCACCAGGGAGGTCAATCTGAGGGGGTGATGTTTTGGTGGCAATGAAGAAGTCAAGACAGCCATGTAGAGATTGGAAGAGGGAAGAGCCAGGGCAGAAATTGGAAAGAGCACAGGAGAGAAAGGTAGCCAGAAGGTGCGAGCAGGGAGGAGGATGGCATGGCCTGAGGCTAGAAAGGTAGCAGAGGATTTATTCCCTGCATGACTGAAAGCCACAAAGAATAGCTTAAGTTTGGTATGATGGGCAAGGACTGGAGGGTGCTGAGGAGGGCATCGGCGTTCAGATCTGGCCCACAGTCTCAGAGGTGCCAGAGACACCAGTGGCCTGATATGACAGAAGCTAATCAGGTGACAGAGGCCCACTGAGCTGAAATTACCTCACCTCAGAGCAAGAGACTTGATGTTACTGGGTCTGCTGGCAACAAACACAGATAAGCTGGTTCCATTGTGAGACCCCTTAGGCCAGGGCTGCATGGCCCAGGGTAGTGGGGGGGGGGGTGACTTCTTATCCCTGCCCGGATAAGAAGGCAATCTCCCATCTCTGCTCCGGTGTAAAACCTGGACTTGGGCCACCCTACTTGTTCTACCTGCAATGGCGGTATTTTGGGGGCATGTGGGAGAGACGTGGGGATGGCTTTGGTCCCTGTGTGAGTCAGCACCCTCTTTCCCCGATGCATAGAGCACACCGGTCTTAAGGTCTTAGGAGCCAGACAGCTGCAGGGAGTACACCTGATACCTGAGGGTGGTGTCTGGCTGAAATAGAAAGATTGCTGTCACAGCTTACAAGGTCTGTGCCCCCAACCCTGCCACCCCAAAACCACTTGCCATCCTTTTGCCTCTCACTGAGTGTGGGTTAAACCTGCCCAGGATGTTCCACACAGGTCCTAACACACTTGGAATACCACAATTACCTTCTTACCCCACCCTCTGTACTTCCCGTCACCTGCAGGAGACACAGGCCAGCAAGCAAGAAGTACCCTCCCGACCGGGCCACCAGCGGATATTGGTTGCATCCCAGCCCCTGTCCCTGCAGCTAATTACACTTCCCAGACACATCATTGTGCCTGCCCCACAGCCTAGCTGCCCCTGACCATGGCTTCTTCTCACCATGTCTTCCCTGCAGGTGCCTTTTTTTCCTTTGCTGCTCATGAAAATCCAACCACTCTTAAAAATCCTAATAAAAAAAGAACTTCGGGCCTCCTTGGTGGTGCAGGAGGTTAAGCGCTGCACTGTGAAGCTGTCTACAGCCTCTGCAGTGTGGGTTCGATCCCGGCTGGCTGGCAAGAATCCCACATGGTGAAGCAGACCTCTCCTGCCTCACCCACTGCTCCCCTCAGCAGTGTATTTTGTCAGTCTGCCTGTTCTGCTCCCCACTCTGTCTCCAGTGAATCCTCTCACCCTCCCGCACATCTTGACAGTAACCCGGTTCTTGTATAAAAATAAATAAATCTTTAAAAAAAAAAAATTCACTCACACTCACCATTGTATCTGAAATATTTAGAGGCCAGATAGCAGCCTTGCTGAACATAACTCTGGAGATCAGAAACTGCACTACTCCATGTTTCCAGCCACCATACCAAAATCTAGCACATAGTAGGTGCTTAATGAGTGTGTTCAGACTGAACTGAATTTTGAGAGTGTTTGAACTTCTAGTCCAAAATACTGAAGACAAGGCCGAAGACAAGGCTGTCCTCCCTGCCTCTTGGTGACACCTGGCCCTGGATTTGCATGCATGGCACACTCCAACTCTTCTGTGGAACCCCTGGCCTCAGCGGCACCTCGCTCAGGGCTACTATCAGGAACGCCTCCATGTGCCCTGGAGGAACCCAGCCTTGGCCAGGCCACTTTCAGCCTCAAATCACACACCCCTATGAAGTAACCGTGGTTCACTGGGTTAAACAGGAAAGCTGGCTACCGATGGAGAAATGGATTCTAATCCCACTCCTGCCAGGGGCCTGTGACTGAGATTCAAAGGCATCAGTGACAGCTGATGCCTTCCTGTGTTTACCCTTCCTTGCTTGTACAGAGACTTGCTGGCACCCCTAGCTCTACTCAGCACACACACTTGGCTGGTCTCTGGCCCCCCACAGGCTTAGAGGCTAGGATGCTTCTTCTTCTCTTCTTTGGAGATACCCCAGGCCCTGAATTGGGGGCTGTACCCCACCACCTCCCAACCCAGCCCCAACTGCCCCCTCGCTTGCTCTCCCCTCTCCTTCCTTCCTCTCTCCTCCTCTCCTCTTCTCTCTCTCCCTCTCACTCATCTGAATCCACTGGGACCAACTTGACAAAGACATCCCAATAAGAACAACCCACGCAGTGCAACTTCCACAGCTCTTTCTACTGAAAGCACTAGTTTGGGCATTTTCCCTAAGAAATGCAATTGCCTTTATTATTCTCTGCCACTTATCTTCCTAACTAATTTGTATCCTCTCTGAAGGCAGAATCCATATGTACGTTCTCTCATTTACCATGGAATCCATGATGCTGTTAGTCTTGGGGCATATGCTTAATGCATAGACCCGGAATAGAATGGGCACATGTACTCAATACATGGTAATGGGAGCCCATCTGCTCAAAGACAAGCTAAGTAGATCATTAAGGAGAAGCAATGGTAGCTCAGCACAGACAGAGAGAGCTACACAGACCTATGAATAAGACTAAATTGGAAGTTTCACCTGCTTGGTCATAAACCATCAGGGTCACAAAGCCAGAGGTCCCAAGGCACTGCAGGAAAGGCCTGCCCTCTGTGCAGCCACCATCATGCTGGGATGATGAGTGGAGACACAGGCCTCTGAGTCCATTCCCAGCACCTCATCCACAATACCCACAACTTCAATGGCACCTATCTGATATTCATATCTGCTGTTCACTCAATGGCAGAGTGGAAGAAAGAATATGAGCAACCATCCACACTGCACATCATCAACCAGCCAACATCAGGAGGCCCTAGTTCTCAAAAGAGCTTGGAGGGATGGCCAACGTGTTTTCATCCTTTAAACATCATTGTCCATGGGCCTCCCCGGTGGCGCAGTGGTTGAACGCTGGGTTGCGAAGCTGCCCGCTGCCTCTGCAGCGCCGGTTTAATACCCGGCCACCTGGCGAGGGTACCACATGGCGCACAGACCTCTCCTGCCGCCCGCTGCTCCCCTCAGCAGTGTACTTCAGTCCTTCTGCCTGTTCTGCTCCCCGCTCTGGCTCTGGTGAATTCTCTCACCCTCCCACACTTCTGACTGTACCCAGTGCTTGTATAAATGAATGAATGAATGAATGAATGAATGAATGAATGAATAAATAAATAAATAAATAAATAAAAATAAACATCATCTGTCCAGAAAGCCAGACTTCAGAAGAACCAGCCGACCCTCTGTCCTTAACTCATGCTCTTGTTTCACATGCTGTGGACCAGTTTACACTGTCACACTGGTCCACTGGCTCTTTCTTCCAGAGGCATCAAAGGCAGCCAGCATTGAACCCAGGCCTCTCCCTTGACCCTCACAAAGGCATTGTGGAATTTTCTGCTCTGGGTCACATGGGAGCAACTTCCATTCTCAGGCTCCATGCTCACCAGCTCAATGGGATGAGAGGTACAGGCATGTTGAGTTCAATCTCAAGGCCACCACAAGACTTGCCTCCTGTACCATCTCTCTTCATAGAGGCAGGTACTGGCATACCTGGCCACCCACAATATCTTCCAGCTCAAGAGAGCAGAGAGGATTTAAACTCTTGGTCTTTGTACATCTCAACCATGAAGCCAAGCTAGGAAAGCAGCCCCAGCAGGAGTCAGCTGGTGACCGGCTGATGTGTCAGCACGCGTAAGGGGTTATATCACTCAAGACAGTCTTTCCAGAGTCAAAGCAAAGCAAGGACCAGAGAAGCATGAGAGAGAGAACTCACTTCTTCCTCTTCTATACCAGTCAGGTCCCAGAAGTAGCCCAGTCGCATCTGTAATCTCTTCCAGTTTTCAAGAAACATGGTTGCTTGAAAAGAAAGAAAAAATGAAGGGAGATTAAAAAAAAAGAAAGAAAAAATTATATTAATTGTCAAAAGTGGGTTTTGGATACTTTCCAGGTACCCCAGTGGAGGTAGAGGAAAAACTTCTAGATTTCAAATTTAGGGCTTCTCTGCAAAGCATTTAATCCTTTCTCTCTACTTCTATTTGGAACTAATAGAAATATTCCATTAGTTCCAACAGGTGTATTTAAAGGGACACACACACACAAACACACATCCTTTTCCGTACTTCCCAGTTATGAAAACAGTAAACTTTGATCCAATAAACAAAGGAAGGACAGAGGATGAAGAAAATGAGAATGGGAGCATTTGTAATCTTCTTGACAAACCTCACCCAGCCATCACTCACATTTCCTCCCTATACTTTCCTCAGCATTCCAACTGCGCCCTACCTCCACCCCGCACCATCTTTCTGCTCCCAGCACCACTTCACTTTTCTGGGCACTAATCATCTCATTTGGTTGTTACATGACAGTCTCCTCATAGTTCTACCTGATTCCAACCCATCCTGCATGCTATTGTGTTACTAAGCGCCCTGAAGTGGCATTCATCCAATCTTCCATTCGTTTGGCAAATGTTTGTTGAATGCCTACTAAACCTACACATCAGTCAGTTTGCCAGCTTCAACCACAGCCCAATGTGCTCCAATAGAACCAACTCCCTCTACTCTGCAATCATGGCTTATTACACCAGGATTGGACACTGGAGTCAGAGCCTGCAGCCAGGCCAGCAGATACTATATCTTGAAAATCAAAACCAAGAGACACAAGGAAAAGCAGAGATAGGAGAAACCACTCAGCATCTGAAAGGAGAAGGGGTGTGGTTTCTGACAGTAACCCCAGCTCCAGTTCCCCAGAGGCCTGGCCATCTTTCATTTCCTGCACCTGCAAGCTTGTTTCTTGCCTTCTTACAATAAATGTCTTGCTATCTGAGCAAGCTGGAGTGAATTTCTAATCCTCCAAGAAAACTAGGTCCAACTAATGCACCTGCAATGTACAAAACTCTGTCCTGGGCATCCTGGGGAAGATGCGGTGACTTGGAGGTAGATTCTGCTCTATTTACAGTCGATGGAGAGAGACTGTAAATAACCATAAGACTAGGGATATAGTGATCTGGGCCTTAAGAAAGGCACAGATAAAAAGCTATGGGCATGCAGAGGAGGGAGAGCTCGCTGCCAAGAAGCCACCAGAGCAGTGTTTTGCACAATAAGGTCTGGGCCGTGAAGGGGTAGGGAGAAGAAAAAGGCTAACCGCCCCCCCTTGCCAAAACTTTCAGTGGCTCCTTATGGTTTAAGCTCTTCTTCACTGAAGGCCACACTGGACTACTGGCTGCCATGCAAGTCTGTGGTGTAACAACAGACCTGGGCTGCCTCAGTTTACCTGGGCCACAGCACAGAGCTGAGCATAACAAACACCCAAGGACCAGCTGAATGAGGAGCTACTTCAAGCTATGTTTCTTTTTACTTAGCGCTACATCGCAGTGCCCTCATTTGTTGGTTTTTCTCCTTTGGATGTTTCCCCATGGGGACATCCTGACCTCCTCCTGATACCAGTATTGACCTGTAGAAGCAGGATATCCCTCCTCCTCTCCCCACACCCTTCTCAGAGCCTGAGGAAGACTCTGCACAGAGCAAGAGTCACTGAAGAGGAGCTATAAGGGCAGGGGAGGACCACCACGATGAAGAGCAACAGAGCACTCCAGGCACATGGGCGCACCATGCACTCACTGCCACAAGAACACCACGAGGAGGCCTTGCTTCACCCCTGGACAGGGGAGGACAATGGTGACAGGCACAAGGTGAGGAGCACAGACTCTAATCACAGAGCAGCTTCACACGACTGGAGGTGGGTCACAGCTGGAAGGGGCAGGACTTAGACACACTTGGGGCCAACTGATTCCTAAGTTGGGGTCCTTACACTCTATTCAAAACCCTGTCCTTTGGCTTCCTGTGCCAATAAGGCATCGTTTTCTTTCTAAAGATCCCCAGAGTCTGAAACCAGAACTGCTGAGGGGGGTGGGCCTGAAGATGTCAACAAGCCCAAGTTCTGCTGATGAGTACCTTCATGCACACCCTCATCCCCACTCCTCACACAATCCACCCCCCTAGCTTGGCAACCCCCACCAGGGTCCTGCCAACAACCTGCATCTCTCCCAGGGGAGAACCACTTCCTACAGACTTCTTCCTGGCAGGCCCAGGCCCACCCAGCACAGCACAGCATCACCAATCATAATAATTGTGGTAATGAGATACTTCACTATTATTTTTTAATTGTAATTTGTAGGCAATCATGCCCAGGGGCTCCTGGCTACTGTAACCAAATTCATAATCACATAAAACACAGCAAGGCTGTTTAAAAAAACAAAACCAAACCCTGCCCTATGCCAGGAAGCTCTGACACACTCCCACCTTCGTGCGCTCCCTCCTGCTCTGGTGGAGGAAGGGAGAGGAGCCAGCAGGGGCAAGACATTACTGAGAATGTTTGCGGGGTGGGGAGCTATTTGTTCATTAGAGCTACCTGGGAGAGAGGGGAGACAGTTGTTGGGGCTTAAAAGAGGGAAGTACAATTGAAAACCAAGATTCTCTACAACAAGGAATCACACATCCAGGAAGTTCTTTTTTTTTTTTTTTTTTTCTTTTTTTAAACTTTTTTTTTTTATAGAGGCATGTTTTTATTTATTTATTTATTTGTTCGTTTGTTTCGTTTATACATGCACTGGGTACAGTCAGAAGCGCGGGAGGGTGAGAGAATTCACCAGAGCCAGAGCGGGGAGCAGAGCAGGCAGAAGGACAGAAGTACACTGCTGAGGGGAGCAGCGGGCGGCAGGAGAGGTCTGCGCACCATGTGGGACCCTCCTCTGGTGGCCGGGGAGCAGCCGGGAATCGAACCGGCGCTGCAGAGGCTGCGGGCAGCTTCGCAACCCAGCGCTCAACCGCTGCGCCACCGGGGAGGCCCATCCAGGAAGTTCTTAAGGGATCACAGCCCCGGGGTTATTAAGCTGCACCTACTCGATCATGGTAATGGCTGCAAGACAAATTAACGGGAATTAGGGTTGCAATATATCAACACATGAATGCATATTCCAGGCTCCATATTTTTTCAAATGGATTTTGCTGTAATAACTAGATGTTCCTGCGTGACAAGGAGATACAAAACTGCCTCTGACTTCCAGGCAGCAAGTCTCGACTTCAGTTTTCCCTACTGCCCCTGCCTGGGAACAGCTCCAGAGCCTCGTGATTACAGGTGCCAATTCCTCCCACTCCCTGTCCCTACTTCTGTGAGCTGACCACGGCCCATGTGTCCCTGGGCAGTAGCCATTCTCCCCGAGAATAGAGTGTCCCCTGGAAGCTGCTGGTGGTGGGATCATAATATGGGAGTCTTTCCTGTCTAGATCTTTCTCTACCCAAGCAGAGGACCCGACGGGCAGGCAGCAGGTCGTGTTCGGTCCTCCCAGGGCTGTGAAGAACGAACCTCTCCTTTCTCCTCACACTTGCAGGGGTGTGACTCACACCCGCCCTGGCATGTCCTCCAGGCCCCCGCGGAGTTGGTGATAAATCAAGCAGCTCCACAGCGGGACGGTGGCCCTGGCGGTATGCGATCCAGGGGGAGAGCTAGGGCTGCACATCCGCTGATGAGTAAAAGCAGGTGGCCACTCCAGACGGGCTGGAACATGTGGGCTTGGGCCCTTCTTTATGCACGCGGGTGTGTCTTCTTGGAAGAGTTCAGTTATCATGGGGTTGTTATTCCAGGCCACCCCAGTTTGGGAGAGAAGAAAAGTGTGTGTGCGCATGTGCGTGTGTGTGCATGCACACACATGTGTGTGCATGTGTGCATGTGTGTGGTCAGACAGCTATGTCTCAGAGAACATTTTTACCCTAATACTCGAAGGCAAGGGAGAAGGAAGAAAATGAAGGAACTATTTGTTCTTTCCTTTACAAAACCCTTTGGTGAGACTATTGAAGTTATCAGTCATGTTACACAAAATCATTTCAGTCTTCATTTGTTGGTGTGCTGGAAACAATATTGAACCTGGACTCAGGAGACCAGGTCTTGGTCCACCTTTTCCACCAGTTAGCTCTGTGACCTTGGCCACTCTGAGTGTTATGCTGGATGACAGCTAAGATTTGACATGACTTAGCAGGGTATTCCAGAAGTGCCTTAAGGGTGTAGTATGAGTTTTCAAGACATATGTAGATTCAAGTTCTGAATAAATCATATGTGAGACAAATACAAGGTTAAGATTCCATTATATTTTTCTAAACATAAAGGATATCTAATTCTGTTTACACATATGAGAAGAACTGTCCCTAAAATTCTTCTTGAAATACAAAGACTACTAAAGGAAGCAGTCCTTCAGAGCTTAGTCACTGTACCTTTTTAAAAGCATTGCCCATGTGTTGGTGATGCCTACTTACCCCACAAAGCCATGAAGATGGAAAAGAACACGGTGGCAGGGTTGTCAAACAGGTGGCTGGCCCGTGCAGTCCCACAGGCTGAGCTGAGGTTCCAGTAATCACAGGACTTGTCACACAGGGGACACATGGTGAAGGCATTCTGCTGGTCACACATCTCTTTGCTGCAGTGGACAGAGGCCACTGGGTCACACAGAGCTCAAGCAGGACCCCCCCAAGCAAATCAACCCCAAACCTCTCCCACTTCCAAATTCATGGCTGAGGTCATCTGCTCCACAAATGAGGGGTATTAAAGAAGCTAAGCTTGGATTTTTCACTGTGAAAGCATTATCTTTAATTTTGCCCCCCAAAGTAGAAGGGCCACCTTTTGAACTGTGGAGCTCTCTGACATTTGAAGTGTCCCAACAGAAAGTTAGTGACCAAAGTTTCAAGAGATATGATACATTGAACGGTGCCTTAAAAAGTCCCTTCAAATGTGCTGAGTCTATGAGGTTGGTGGAAGATCAACAGTTGGGAATAAATCACCTTTCTGAAGTTAGATTTCATAATCCATTCTTCAAGCACAGGTTGCCTTCTTAAATCCTACTGGCTGCCTTGGGAATGTGTAATACTGGTCACCAGGAAAACCAAACATGAGTGTGTGTGGCTGGATCAACACCAGCTCTTACTTCTAGAAGGAGAGGCCATGTGAAGTAGAATGGAGTCAGATATAGGTTGGAAGTCCTTCTCTGAGTACATCAGTTGTAGGATGTGGGTCAATGAAATCAACCAAATAAGAATAATCATAACCTTAAAATGGGACTAAGGATAAAGTAAATTCTTCCAAGGTCTAGATTCTGACACTTGGAGAGAGAGAGACGTGTGAGTCAAATAACCATCATATACATTCTAACTTACTCTCATTATTTCTATTCAATAAGCTGATGAACACATTTGAAATTCCACTCAAGTGATTAGCTGGCTCCAATAAATCTAGGATCACAGTGTGTTTGCAAATAAGCAGCAAAGAATCAAAGCCTTAATGGACTTCGCAAATGTCCCCCCACACCACATAGGTAGGAAAATGAACGAACTTAGCACTTTGGTATGGAACACTCCCTTTGGGGAATAACAGGCAGATGGTTAAGTTCATGTCTTGGGGGAGAGGGTGAAGATGTCAAAATATTGTGAAAATGGACACTGGCTGTTTTTACACACAGCAGGCAGGGGGTTCCTGCGCTGAAAACCACAGCTGCGTTTTCTCCTGAAAGAGGCAGCAGAGGGCGCTACAGAGCATGATTGACAAGTGGGAGGCCACTGCAGATAAGGACGCTGGCTCCCTGTGTGCTGAAGCCAGGGCTTCCTGAAACCCAGACTGACAAAGGAGGCCTAGGTGGTGTTCCCCTTCAAGAAGAAGCTGAAGGGCCTACCGGAGGGCTGTCACTGTCTTTCAGGTTCCAGCCCTCAGGCTTGTTTTTAATGACCTATTAAGTCCATCACTAGAAAAGTCCTTTTGTGTGAGAGAATGGAAATTCGGAGTCTCTGAGGGCAAATCCTGGTTCCTCCAACTGCCTGCTAAGCTTCCATTGGCAGTGTCAATAGCAATGACTCACTCACATCGACAATATTAAATAGTAATATCTTAGTAAGTTCAGCTGTGCTAGCTTCACTTGGGTACATTCTTATTGGTAACTGGAGAGCAAGGTTTATTTTAAGTCTTCTGGGTCAGAATCAAGGTCACTTTGCAGTTGAGAAGTGGCTACTTTTGGAGAAGAGAGTGCCCTCTTAGAAAACAGATTCTCACAGAAAGTTGTTGGCCTGTATGAAGAAAGCTAGTCGAGAGTTTGCTTCTGAGCTATGTCTGAGCACGCAGGAGTTCTCAGGGCATGCCCTTCAAAGGCCTGCATGAGGGACGTCACTTTGTGGTTTGGGATTTTTTTATGCATAGATTGTATATATAGTGCATGTATACATGATCCTGATCAACCTGATCCTGATGAAATCTAGTCAATGTTGAAAGGTCAAGAATGAAAAAAGTGTTAGCAACCAACTCAGTACAAAGCGCTTTGAAACATAAGTGCTGTGTTAATGATTGGTTTTAAAATTAGAATAGTCAACTATCAATCATTTGTACAAAATGGTGGCCATTTTGGATACTCCCCAAATCATTTAAATTGGATACTCCCCAAATCATTTAAATTTGAAATCAGAATGCTTTATATGTATTGGAGGAATTTTTGGTTCGTTTTTATGTAAACAATTTTAACAGAATTCTGGAGAAAGTCAGCCTTGGGATGTCATTAAAATGACGATGCATTCCCTGAGGAAGGCTGCCTCTAGACAGACTGAAAGACGGGAGTTTGCTTAGAAGTGATAGAGAGTCTGGGTCATTCACTGGTTGGTTGATCCACAGATTTCTACTGTGGTCAGAATCTAATGTATTAGGTATTGCTCCCATCTGTCATTTTTTTCTAGAAAGCATTATTAGTTTGGTAAATGGCCTGACAATCAGTTTAACCAAGACCCCAAAGCCAGTGGTGTTTCCTGCTTGTCAGGTGACGCTGGGCTGTCAGCTCACAGGGACAGAAGCAGTGACACATCATCTGCCAGTCAGGCCTCGGACCTGTCGACCTGACATAAGCCATTTTTTAAAATGTGGTTTAGACTTAAGCTTTTTCAATACTCCAGTTACTCTTATCAATGAAAGCAAATGCTGACAAATGAAACCAATTCCTTGGTAAGTAAAGTTCTACATTATGCTGTGGAATCACTACTATCAAATGATTCTTTTGATCTCACATATCAAAGTTATGGTGACAAAAGGTACCACTCAAAATTCCAATTAAAGTAAATATTCTGGTTTGGCTACTGAACTGTGGTAATACAGATATAACTGTCAGGGGAATTGAGTGAAGGATTCACTGGGCCCTTCTATATTAGCCTAACTTTCTGTGTATCTATAATTTTCTCAAAATAGGGGGATTTTAAAAAGTCATACCTAGATGATAAGTTTCAGTTTCAATGCCAAAGTTAGAAACCTCCAAAATAATTCCCAGAATAGTGCAACTTTTTAATTATCCTTAGGAGTGACTGATAGAAGCAACCTCCAAAAGATCATGAATCTATTTAGATTCAGTCCTTGGATGTAGTAGCTGTTCCTTTGTTGATGAGAAAAGGTACTTCATGAGATTTTTTTCCAGCCCAAATTTTGATGGATAGAATGATTTTACTGGAAATTATGAATAAAGAGCAGTTCTTTTTTAAAACTTCTTCATAATCTGTTTAATATTTTTCTATCACTTACACCTTTCTGATCGGCCACAAACTACCCTGTGTTTGAAAACTCCAAAACCAAAATTTCAATTTTCTAGCAGTCAATCTGAAACTTTTCGACTAATTTACAATTTAAAAAATTCCAGTATGCAAATAGAAACACACCATCTCCCCACCAATACACTCACATAACTGAAATAAAATCTCATGAAACAATACTTACACTTGCTTATTGTGATGGTGACTAGCATTTCACCTCAAACTTCTCTCACCAGCTTCATTCTACTTTATCTACTCCACCTTAGAACTTCATTCTAGTTCATTTAAAAGACAATCCTTTAAACTTAATCCATAATTCAGCTTATAAAACACTGTACCAGCTGACGTGCAATTTGGCTCATTGTAATAATGATCACATTTTACATATACCCACTCGTGTGTGAGTATGCAAGCATGTACACAGACTTATATCTTCAAAGCATGAGTAGACCATGGTCGTTTCCAGCAGGGGTCACTGTCTCATGCATTCCCACATGGAGCAGGAGGACACAAATTGTAAGTCACGCCGTGAGCTGACATCCCCCCACTACCCTGGTTCTCTATGCACAGATCAACCTGAGAGCGAGCTCTCTAGGAAACACAACTGGACAAGGGAAACACAGGAGCTGTTTTTTCTTAGAATGCATCAGGAAAGATCAGTTGAAGCTACTGGGCTACCAAGAAGACATGAGCTTCTGGAAGACTTCACAGCTTCTTGAGAAAAGCAAAGGCTTTGGAACAGGTGGTCATGGAGTTCAGATCGAGGGCTAATGATTACTAGAAGTTGATGCTGGGCAAATTGCGTGACTTCACTTAGCATCAACTTCTCCATCTATCTTAGGTAAGAATAATAATACTTATCTTACAGAGTTCACAGCATTGATATCTACAGGATCAAAAAAAAAAAATCTAGAACAGCCAAACCACCTAGTGCCACTCTTGCATGAGCCAGATATTTGGTATGCATTCATCTCTCACATCATAGGAAAGGCAGGACCCTGACAACTGGTCTCTTGTGATCAAGTTCTTAGCACTCCCAGTCAGAACCATGGGACAGAGATCCTGGAATGTCATACACACATACCCAAACACTTGTCTCTTCTGCCAAGTTATTTAGCTTTATTTTAAACATTGGCACCACTACTTCCAGGTCATCTAATTTGCGAGATCCTTTCTATGGTTTGCTATAGCAGCAAGAAGAGGTATCTGGTTCCTACCCACCCTTTCCTCAGATAAGCACAGCTCTTGCTCCTTTCTTCAGGATGCCCATTACTTCCCCCATTACTATCCCCAACTTTAGTGGACACCCATCAGTTGCCCAGTGTTCTCATCCAGCTATCAAGCTAATTCAAGTTGCATTTTCCATCATTTGCAACCAAAATAGCATTCAATTACATAAAGCGTGCTTCAGTATGCAAGGACAGCTCTGCAACAGCAAGAGATTTAAATTCTAAATATTGGCTAAGTGTTTCTTTAGTCCCTTGTACTCTATTTCCACAGATGCTGATTCATTCAACAATTATCTCTTAACACTTGGCCACATGTCAGGCACTGTCTCCAGCCTTTACCCCACCACAGAGGTAGATGCTATTATCACCCTTTCACAGCCAAGGACTCTAAGACTCAGGGAGAGAACAATGCAGTCACATAACTAATATGGAATACTGTCAGTCCTAAAGGCTACTATTTTCAAGTGTTTATTTTCTTTTAGGCGCTCTCTTTTCCCAGAAGAACGAGCTCTCCAAAAGCTTAGTCAAGGGACCCGTCACCTCTTATAATTTGGCTTCCTGAACCACAGGCTGAGCTTTCCTCAGCCCCAGAGCTGCCTGTTCCTTCAGAGAGCCCACAGCATTTTATCCCAACACTGCCTGGCCCTGTAGACACAGCCACGACCCAACATCACCCCTCACTTCCAATCTTGGTCTTATGGGAAAGCAGGGGGGAACGTCATGATGTTGAGAAGAAAAGCATTTCTCTACCATGATTTTTTTTTTATTAGTTTTCTCCCAACCGGTCACTTCAGACCCTGGTCCTGGAGAAGCACCTGCCCAGGAGGGGAAACGAACCATGCCCAGCATGACTCTGGTGCCATTCCTAGAACCTGTAACTCCCAGAGCTGTCTCTGGAGGGTGTTATGTGTGTGGTAAGGGAAGGGGGAGAACAGAGGCTGAAGACTTTAGAAGGAGGCACGTGAAATGTACTTGCAACCAGGACGGCCCTCGAGACTGCTAATATACGGGAACTGAGTCTTTTTCCTTCCAGCCAGCTTACCTGGGGATATCTTCCTCGATCGTTGCACACCCATAGAGAAACACAATCACCCCAATTACAGAAGATGGGATGAGGAAATATGTATATAATCCCAGCCAGGCAAAATACAGTCCAATTTTTTCTCCAAAATACTTTCTGGAAAAGAAAGAAAATAAAATGTGTTAAGAGCATCATATAATTTCCTTATTCCTATTTGTTCTAACCCTAACAATGGGTCAGTATAAATGAAAATGGATGGAGGTTCATGGGGTAGCAGGGACCTTAGCACAAAGAACCAACACTTGTTCTTTTCTGAAATGAGTGACATTCTATTGGAATCATATAAACACACCTGTCCTGGCCGTTCATGTGAAACCAAGAGGAAGAATTCAGCTCTTAACACCAAACGAAAAATATGCAATAAATTTGACATATTTATCAGACCAACATGAATCACATCATCACCTCACAAATACCACAGTAACCAATCAACAATAAATACAACTTTTTGTAACTAGTTCATTTAAACAAAACACACAAATTATTTGGGAGGCATATATATCAGCATACACACCAATATAGACACACTCCTAGGACAATGACTAGAAGAAACTCAATAAAATATTAGTAATGCTTTCTTAAGTTAGTGGTATCAATGGGTATTTTAGTTTATTTTCTAATTTTTAAACTCTCCCTGGTTAATGAACTACTTTTCTTTAAAAAACTATTTGAAAAAAAAAAAAGGTTATCTTTTTGATGCCCAGCTCATAAAGCTCTAAGTTGTCGCACTGAGCTTCTGAAAGGGATTTTCCTTTGATAAATACTGATTATGGATGCTTGATGAGAATAACACACACTACTGAGGAGTGGTATTTTTTATTTCTTGAGATCTTCTGACATAAAGCACAGGAGGCAAATAGGCCCATTTTTTGATGAAAGGACTGAAGTCCTAGGAGATCAGTGAACAGAATTTATTTACTCATGACCAGGAGTTCTACCTCCTCCCCAACTCCAGGATACAGACAATGCTAGAAAATGCAGCTTATACTCTAACAAGACAAACTGAGTAATCTATGAAATCAAGGCTTTTCCTGAAACCATCAGACAGCAGAAACCAGGTTAACTGAATATTAAAAAGAAAGAGGAGTTTGCACTCATCCCTAAGATCCTAGCAAGGACCACCACCTGACACTCCTGGGAGGATAATGGGCAAGGAAAGACAGCTCCCTTAGTTGCACACAAGCACAAAAGCCCACCCATCTTTCAGGACCATCTCTTATTCAAATCAAAAGTCTCAACCAATTGGGAGAAGGGACTCACCCTAGGACCCAAGCAAAACTACACTGTTTCTGAGCCCAGACAGGACACGCTACAATAGCATTTGCTTCTGGTGGGGGAAAAGGAAATAGTTTGGGGCTTAGGATTCTAAAAACTTACAAATCAGAAGTTTGTTGCCACTGCAGAAGAGTAGATCACTCTCTTCCCCAAAGAATCCCCACAGATAAAAGACAGATAAAAGCTAAAACAACACCCTTCACTGACTGAGGGAACTGGAAGAGGCTAAGAATGCTGAGAAAGTCCTGCTTTGAGGCTCAGCATGAGTCTAAAGCTGAATATGGACCAGAAAACCAAACCTCTAATCCCCCTAAATCCCCTCACCCATATTTCAAGGCCAGCACAGAGGATCAGCAGTCTCCTGCCAGGGAAGGGGCAGAAGAGTTCCCTCTGTGGCAAAGTAAGCTGAGAGTGGAAAGTGAGCAAGGGACAATTCTGCAGTACTCTGTGGTTTCCATGAAGCACAAGGCAGTAGCATCCCACTGCTGAAGAAATCTGGAATCTCCACAGATACACTGAGAGTGAATCAACTACAAAATCCAAGCTCAGCTCAACCTGATGAGACTCTGCTTCCCTCACTATCTGTCCACTTCCAGGTGTAATTACCATTTAACTCAATACACAAAGTCTCGAATTCAATAAAAATCTTGAAAGACATTAAAAATAACCCACTGTCAAGAAGATGGGAAATCAACAAAACCAAAGTTGATCTAGTGTCAAAGTTCTCTGACAAGGACCTCAAAATAATTATAATGAATATATCAAGGAGGAATCTAATGTAAAAACAAGTCAACACAATGCATGAGAAGATTGGGAATTTCCACAGGGAGACAGAAACACAAAAATGTAAGTGGAAATGCTAGAAACAAAGACAACAAATGATATCAGATATGAAAAATGTCCTTGTTAGGATGCCTTAGCAGAAGACTGAACACAGCTGAGGAAAGACTCAATAAACTTGAATATAAGTCAATAAATATTATCCAAGCTAATACACAAAGAGAGAAAAATAATGAAGAGGAAAAAAAATCTAGCAATCAAGAGCTGTAGGACAACATCCAAGAGTCTATCATACATGTAATTAAAGTCCCAGAAGAATTAATAGAAACAGAATAGAAAAAATATTTGAATAGATTATGACTAAGAATTTTCCAAAATTAATGAAAACAACCAAAGACAGATCCAAGAACTCCAGAGAATGCCAAAGAGAATAAATACAAAAATAAAATCCCACATATGTAGGTGTATCATACTCCAACCACTGAAAACCATAATAAACTTCTGAAAATCTTTAAGCCATCTTAGGAAAATAACAAGTAGTAGGGGATGGAAGGGGAGGATGAGAAAAGGAAGAACAAAAGTAGGATTTACAGTCAATTTCTTGGTAGAAACTATGCAGACCAGAAGATAATAGAATGACAGCCTTGACGTATGGAAAGGGGAAAAAAATCAACCCAGAATAATACATGCAAAGAAACTTGTATACTTTAAAAGTTAAGTCCAAAAAAGACTATTTCAGCAAGCAAAAATTAAGAGAATTCATTGCCAGCAAATCTGCACTGTAAGAAATATTAAGGAAGTGCTTTAGGCGAAAGAAGCATGATCCCAGTTAAAAGTCTGAATCTACACAAAGAAGTAGAGAGTACCAGAAATGGTGAAAATGATGGCAAATAGAAAGATGCTTTTCTTATTTTTAATTTCTTTAAAAGATGAAAGCATGCCTTCTTAATGACGACAATATCTTTCCCAAATATGATAAAATGTGTTCTTTAAAAGCCAAAGACTATTAAGTTATTAAGTGATTTTTAGTCTCCAATGGGTCACAAAACAGAAACAGATATATAGTATATCTGTGATATTAAAATTTTGTGGGAGAAGAAAAGGGGAAATGTCTACAAAGACGCCTTAGAGAAACAATAATGGAGAAAAGGTAGATAAACATTAGTCTGAGCAAAAATTGTAACACTGTTAGTGTGGAAGTAACATGTGGAAGTAAAATGCATGACCATAATGCACAAAAAACAAGAGGGGAGAAATTGAAGTACATTCCTATAAGATTCTTACCCTATCTGTGAAGTGATACAATATTATTTGAAAGTAGAATATGGAAAGTTAAAAGTATGTTTTGTAAACCCTAGAGAAATCACTAAATTTATAAATGGGTATAACTAATAGGCCAATATTGAATATAAAATGAAATCATAAGATACACTCACTTCAAAAGAAGGTATGAAAAGAGAAAAAATGACAGAACAAATGAAAACAAAGAATGAGCTGATAGAGCTCAAGTAGAAGTATATTAATGATTACATTAAATATAAATGTACCAGAGATCCTTCCACTTTAAATAAAGGTGTGTTTAGATATATAGATGATAGAGTTATATAAGATAAAAGTAAAGGAATATATACTTTGTAAATGTATATCAAAAGAAAGCAGGAACAGAAAAAAGCATACATCAGAACAAAGAACCTTCTATATAAGGGCCAAAAAAGATCATCAAATAAGGATAAAGTGGGCAATTCATTAAGGAGATCTAATAATCCTAAATGTACACACAAAATGCATACACCAAAATTCATATAATGAAAACCGATAGGATTGAAAGGACAAATAAATGAATTCTTCAGTATGAACTGGAGAGTTCAATACTTCTATCTCAATAATTGAGAGTACAAGTAGATATAAAATCAGTAAGGGTATAAAAAGGCACTATATACCTACTTAAACTTAACCATCATTTATAGAACATTCCATTAGGAAACACATTATTTTCAATAAACATTCATCAAGATAGATCATATTCTGAGCCATAAAGCAAGTTTAACAAGTTTAAAAGAATAGAAATAAAAGAAGTTTTGTGCCCTGACCACAACTAAATTAAGCCAGAAATCAACAACAGAAAAGTATCTGGGAAAAAATCCTAAATACTCAGAAATTAAACAATATTCTTCTAAATAACCCATGGGTCAAAAAAAAGATCATAAAGGAAGTTAGAAAATATTTTCAACTGAGTGAAAATGATCATACAACATATCAAAATTTGTGGGATGCCATTTAAGAAAAACAGAAAGTTATACCACTAAATATTTTTACTATGAAAGGAAAGTTTTAAATTAATAACCTAAGCTTGTACTTTAACCAGAAAAAGAACAAATTCAATCCAAAGCAAGCAAAAGGAAAGAAATAATAAAGGGGGCAGCAGACATGAATGAAATTAAAAACAGAAAAACAATCAAGTCAATGAAACCAAAGCCAACTGTTTGAAAGGATCAATAAAATTGATAAATATTTAGTCAGACTGATCAAGAAAATAAAAGATAAAACACAAATTATCAATAATAGGAGTGAAAGAAGAACATTGCTACAGGCCTTACTTTTCACTGTCATGTGATAATGTTAATTGTCTTTTCATCTTATCTTCTCTACAAATCATCTGGAAGAAGAGTCAGAAGGGAGAAGGCAGGAGAGCAACCAGATGTAATAAGCACAAATTGCCCTTGTGCTTTCATCTTGCTTGTCTTACTTAACCTCATTTTTAATCCTCCTAAGTCTTTTCCACATGAGAAAACTGAAGCTCCCTGTATGGCAGGGAGCTGTGTGGCAGGGCTAGGGCACCCAGAGCAAGCACTGGTCTCTTGTCATTTGACCCTCCAGGTCTAGTGCTCTTGGCAGAATAACAGCAGTGATAGTAACTGATGTTTATTAATGGTGAATTATGTGCCAAGTTCTGTTCTAAAAAGATTACAAATTTCTTCTTCCAACTCTATGAGGTGTTATGCTAGTATCCTGAAATTATAGTTAAGGAAACTGAAGTACAA